CCCCTGGGCTCTGCGGTCACGCAACCAACTTCCACGGTGTGGGCAGCCGGGAAGTAACAATCGCCCTCACAATCCGAAATGCACACGAAACCTCTCTATTACTCACTCATCTTTGTCTTCATCTTCATCTCTATCATCTTGCCTTCCTTCCACTGATGCAACTCCTCGACTTGATAGCTCTCCACTTCCTCTCCACTCTGCGTCCACTAAAAACGATGGAAGCCAAAAAACCACCACCGACAGCCTCTTAAAGCCGCGCCACCAATTTCATATAGGAGCTCTTAATGTTAGGACACTTTGCCAAATAGGACAACAAGCATCACTAGCCAAGACCCTGGCATCACGAGCCATTGATGTATGCTGTGTTTCAGAAACACGCATACAAGACCCAAGTGTGGTTATTCACCTAACCCCACCTGGCCAACAGGTTGAATCTGCAAAATTCACCTTGAGGGTGTCAGGAGATGCCACAGCTAGTTCACGAGGATTAGCTGGCGTAGGGATAGCTTTGAGTACTAGGGCAGAAAAGACATTGCTTGACTGGATCCCGGTAGATAGCCGAATGTGTGCTGTCCGCCTGAACGGATCAGTAAGAAGGAGGAAGGACTGCACTACTCGCCGATGCCTTTTCGTAATCTCCGCCTACGCCCCCACTGACTGCAGTTCAGATGAAACGAAGGATGAGTTCTACCAAAAGCTGTCTAGTTTGGTGGAAAGGCTAAACGCTCAGACATAGTCGTTCTAGCTGGTGACTTTAACGCTCAAGTAGGGAAATTGTGTCAATCTGAGAAGGATGTCGGTGGCACCTATGGAGCTCCGTGCCAGCGAACCGACAACGGTGACCGTCTCCTACAGTTCTGCTCTGATAATCATTTGTTTCTTGTAAGCACTAACTTTAAACACAAGGAGAGACACTGTTTGACTTGGAGACCCCCTTCATCAAACCAACGCTGGACACAAATAGACCACATAGCAATAAGCTATCGTTGGCGTGGGTCGGTAGGAGATTGTCGCTCCTTCTGGAACACGTGCGTAGATACCGACCATGCACTGGTCCGCGCTCGGGTGTGCTTACGACTGAACGGACGTAGGAAACAGCTGGCGGTAAAACCATCACGTCCCCAGCTCGATCAGGAAACTAAATCCGTATTTCAGGAAGAACTAGCTAAACACATATCTGTGTTCGACAGCTGTGCTCACCCTGAAGAAGCTTGGAAAAATATCCAGGCAGCCATAGATACAGCTGTAAAAGCTGTGAATAAGGTAAACCCAAAGGTGAGTAAAAACCACTGGATCTCCACCGCCTCATCCGAACTGATAGATGCTAGAAGACTTATTCCGGCGAGCTCCGAATTCAATGAGGAGCGAAAGCTGCACAAGAGGAAACTTACGAAAAGTCTCCGCAAGGACCGTGAACAGTGGTGGGCGACAAAAGCCAAAGAGATGGAGAAAGCTTTGAGGATAGGCAACACCAGGCAACTCTTTGGACTCATCAGGGAAACGGGTGGGAGAAGACAAATCATCAGTGAGACAATCTCGGAAAAAAATGGCACTATAATTAGCTCACAGGATAGACGACTGGATCGTTGGAAAGAGCATTATGAGGAGCAGTTTAATTTGCCCACAGCCACGCTCAACCTTCCGAGCATCCAACACCTCCCTGAATGGGATATAGACACAGGTCCTCCGTCACTAACTGAGGTTACTAAAGCTGTCACCAATCTGAAACTAGGCAAAGCAGCGGGACCTGATGGAATGACTCCAGAGGTATTTAAGTACGGTGGAGACAGCTTACTGTCCGGATTAACTGAGGTACTAGGCAGCGTCTGGGAATCAGAAGAAGTCCCATCGGGTTGGTGTAAGTCACTGATTATCCCCATATACAAGAAGGGAGACAAGTCTTCCTGTGATAATCACAGAGGGATTAGCTTGACTAATATAGTATCTAAAGTCTTAGGCTCAATAATCATGCGTAGACTGAGTGGTGCTCGGGAAGCACAAACACGAGAGAGCCAGGCAGGCTTTAGACCAGGAAGAGGGTGTATTGATCATATCTTCACCCTCCGACAGATTCTAGAACATAGGCATTCCTACCGGCGTCCAACAGTCATTATATTTCTTGACCTAAAGGCAGCATTCGACTCTGTCGATCGGGAAGTTCTCTGGAGATGCTTGGCTGTAAAGGGAATTCCAAGAAAATATATTGCACTGATTAAGGCACTCTACTCGTACTCATACAGCCAGGTGAGGGCTTACGGCGAGCTGTCATCTGAACTGATGACGACCAGTGGTGTCCGTCAAGGATGCCCATTATCTCCTTTTCTATTCAACTTCATCATAGATGTGTTAATGGACTTAACCCTAGGTGACTTCAGCGACTCAGGGATTGACTTGCTACCGGGGAATAATCTCGTTGACTTGGAATATGCAGACGATATAGTCCTTCTAGGCGAAGACGCTGACGAAATGCAGAGTCTTCTAAACACCTTGAGCCGCAATCTACGAATGTTTGGCATGCGATTCGCTCCCGCCAAATGCAAGATGATGTTACAGGACTGGACTACATCGACGCCTAGTTTAAAAATAGGAAGTGAAGTGGTAGAGCACGTTGACCGCTTCACTTATTTGGGAAGTACCATCAGCCCCAACGGGCTGATCTCTGACGAAATCTCAGCACGAATACAAGGGGCTCGTTTCGCATTTGTTAGTTTACGCCGACTCTGGCGTAGACGAGATGTTCGACTATCGACCAAAGGGCGGGTGTACTGCTCATCAGTCCGCTCCGTCCTCCTTTATGGTTGTGAGACCTGGCCACTGAGAGTGGAAGACATGAAAAGACTAGCTGTCTTTGATCATAGGTGCCTGCGTTCTATTTCCCGTGTAAAGTGGCATAATAAGGTGAGCAACATGGAGGTTAGGCGTAGAGTTCTAGGTAAACAGGGGAAATCAATCGACGAAGTCGTGAAGCTACAAAGACTGAGATGGTTAGGACATGTGTTACGTATGCCAAGCCATCGCCTCCCTCGACGAGCTATGTTAGCGGATATAGGGTCAGGCTGGAAAAAAGCTAGCGGCGGTCAAACAAAAACTTGGCATCAGTCAATGAAATCCACAACAGTTGGTCTAAGCCACGTAGGAAGGTGTAGACTTCCAGGCTGGGGTCCTCGGGACGGTAAAAATCTATGGTTGGAAACAATTGGTGACATGGCTCAAAATCGTTCTCAGTGGCGCAGATGCATCCACTCCCTGTGACTTATGATCTTCAATGAAACTGTTTTGTATTTCTTTATTACTCCTTTGTCTCACACCTCTGCTCACTGTTTCTATTATGCTTTTCTTGTACTTTCTTCTCTTGCTTCGCGTGCTACACGGAATGTGGCGACTTGAACTTCCGCACATTTGTGCAAAGTTCTATGTCGAAAACAGACAGAACAGACAGACAGACACTTAGCTCATAAAGAAGAGAGTGTAAATGTAACTGAATGTTGACCAAGAAAGGGGATTTATACACACTAACAAGTATATATATATATATGATACCGTGATAATTAATCTTTCACTCCCTTACTACAAAAAACAGGTAAACCGAGGCTTTGTGTCTAAAATAACCATTAATCGCATTGTACTTCAATAACACGTGAAAAATACAGAGGAAACAGCTGTGATGACACCCATATTCTTCCATTTCGAATATCCTTATTTCAACACTTAACAACCTTGTAAAAATAGATAATACTTGATAGACAACAGGTAGTGAATAAATAAAATACATTACCTACAATTGGGATAGATACATTTCAAGAAGCTATCAACACACTACTGTCGTTGACTAGTATAACACGTAGTGTAAATTCACAAGAAAAATCCGTTAAACTATATACATATGACGCTCCTGACAACTATAAATAAATGTAAGATAAAAAGCAAATGGTCCACCGTTAACCAAACCATAGTTCCAGTTATTTTTAGCGAAGACGACTTCATTCCTTACATATGTTTATAAACTTGAAAATAATGCACATATACCCATGATAACGTAACCTGAAGACAATTTCACTATTTTGTTGTCAGTATGGGCCAATGAGTACACAAAAAAGGTGGTACACTGGTAAAACTAAATAGTGCTACATTTACTGAACAAAAGACCATTACAATCATGTTTTTAAATTTTCACGAAATAACGAGATCGTGAGTTTGGTTTTTAGGTAGATAACTTTAAAATAGCAATTATTAATAATAAACGACCAAATTTATTTCCACACAGTGAAGTACCATATATTACCAGAAAATAATCGATTATTGTGGGTTATATCGAATATGTATGTAAAATATAACTAAATCAATATGCTGAAGTTCCTTTCTTACATTAAGACAGCTTCTATCACATTATAGGCTGATTGGGTAACACGATGGTGGCTGGTTCCCTTTTGCGTACGGAAACTATTCTTAATCGGGAAGGAACATGAATCATCAGATTTACGTCAGATATAAGAAGGGCTATCAGATGTTTACGCTGAGCAGGAAATGATGATGGCGGACATCTTCCAATTCGTACAGACTAACAATTCGAACAGTGTGGGAGCAAGTTAGGTATATCACGCATAACATAATATCCCTATGAAAAACAGGATATATTTGAAAACTTGTTCAGTGAATTATATAGTTTCCTAATGCAACATATCCAGAAAAAGAACTACCATGGGATTTCTATATTAACTTATTTAAAATACGGGGACTTCCACTAAACCCTCAAGACAATTGAAGTGGAGAGAAATTCTTAATCAATGATTTATCTTTAATGAACTTTCCGCAGTTCATTGAGAGTCACCTTAACAAATTAGAGATAGACTCAAAACAGGAATGCTCCATCTGGATGATGAAAGTGTATTACATTATACTTCCTAAAAATGTGGAGCTTGAAAATTAGATAAGATAATAGGTAAATGAAATTTAAAACTGTTACCCAGAAAGAATTAAATACGCAAAAACATATGACTCACCTGTCAAGTGGGTCCTCTGCAAACCATAACTCAACACAGAGAAAGAGATCATTCTTCATTAAAGAATCCTCTAGATTTATGGGGTCAACTTGGATCAGTATCCTCTGTTCAAACACATCGCATAGCTTTGCAGATTCCTCACGATACATAATCAATAACGTCTTGCTACAAGCTTTTTCTGGAACAAAAGCTGGATCAGAAACACTTGGCCCAATGTAACTGGCCGTTTTAGCCTCTGGTATTTTAAATCGTGTACTAGATCTTTCCCAAACAAATGGGGGTTCAGCAAACGCTGTTGCTTTGGCATTAGCAGATCCCGTAGTTGTAACTGACTGTCCATTTGTTTTTATGTAAGTGCGAATCTGGTAATAGCTGAGGTGTACTTATTATCCGAAAGAAAAATAACTTACCCACGGTGATAAAGATCAACATTATGAAACTCTCGTAATTCAACGATAAAAGATAAAGTGGCCTGAACTACGGGCATCAGCACCTAGAAAGGACATTCAAATATTAAAACTACTCATTTTAATGTGTCAATGTAAATTATAGAAAACTATCGTTTAACCAGAGTAAAGGGAGGAAACTCGATAATAAAGTAGTAACCACGACATCTAGCCGTACTTAGCATAATATATCAGTTTATGCCGGATATGTGAAGTCAGTTATGAAAACAAAAAGATATAGATGCCACTCAAACAGCGTATGTAGACATGAAGTAAAGACAATCTTTTTTGACGTGAAAACTAAATGCAATTTAAGACAACAAATGCATCATGTAGAAGCTTAAAGCAGCGTGTAAAAGCACCTTAATATAAAAGAAATGAGACACATATGTAAATGTGAAGTATGCACATTTATGAGTCTCGAGTGTACGATGTTGACATACTGAGAACCCATTTTTAAGACAATAAAGACTAGTAAATTTATGTACCGATTTTGCACATAAGATTTCGGTAGGTCCCATCATAGTCATTGCTTTGTAAAAGTTAAGAAAACCCTAATTTAAAACCTAACGTGCATATTTCAAAGTGTACTTGAGTATAGCCAATTGGTTATAAAATACGCACCAATTTTTCCTTACTCTGTAAGTATTCCATCTCCTCTCCCTCTTTATCAAACGTTCTGTTACCCCACAGCTTTCATACTTAAAATTAAACTCCTACGAATTTTTTTATTACCTTATTGCTCAACTAGGAAATTTAGTTTTGGCTATGCTACGGTACACAACTCAATAAAGCTTTATATTACGTAGTTTCTGTTGTAACATCGTGAACCCAATCAAAATATCATGCTTCTTTGAAATCTGAACCTTAGTTTTAATGTGTCGACAAATCATAAATTTATGAATTAAATCTACACATTATCACAAACAATCCTACAGACATTATTGTTATAGTACGTCTGAGAAAGATTCAAAACATATAAATCATACTCAACGGGTGGTTCTAAAGCTGGGGGATATTTGCTATGGGTATTGAATGAGAATTAATTCGCATGCCTCCTAAAAATAAGTACAGTTAGCTGTATAAATGATAAAGAGGTGACAGCAAATATATAATCATATTCAATACATATCTTACATCTAGGACATGTGGTATGTTAACGTATCAGCAACAACCCTTAAGGAGTATGCTAGCGATAGGAAACTGCAGATGAAAAACGCCTGGTTCGTGTACCGCGCTCTTGCTAAGTTACTTTTGTGCTGAGCACTTAGTGTGGAAGAAGTACTGAGACCTTGACCTCCTACAATGGTTAGTGGTGAAAATAAACCAGATGGAATGCAAAATACTGAAAGCTTTTGACATTATGCGAAATCCCTACTGTTCTGACTGTATTGGTAATTAGCCTCATTTTCTGATAACATTCGTGATGCAAGATACGTATGTGTCAGCATATACTCGGTCACTTTCCTTCATTCTTCAACGCCCATGTGACTTCCATCCGTTTATGCGTGATCGCTAACAGAGAAATTGATGTACTTCATTGGTCACAATCCCAAAACACTTTAAGCTCCCATAGCTAGCTGATCCAATTTCAGAAATGCACTGACTTCTTTAAGGCCTCTTCTTGGGGCTAAGGGACAGGTTTCGTTTTCAAGTGTTCAAGTGTTTTTTCCTTTGCGCCTGTCAAAGATATTGAGTGACAACTTTTCAAAGAATGTAAATTAACTTTCAATAAACTGACACTCTCGGGATAGATGACTGCTTTATAATTAGCCTGGGAAATAGAATAGGAAATGAGAAGAGGAGAAAAATAAACATTCTCACAAACCACTGAAAAAAACCAGAAGAAAGCTGGAATTGCAGGGAAAATGACTGGGGCAGGAAATATAAAATAATATCAGCCTCTAATTTGGTCTGCTCTACTCACATGTGAGGTCACTGTAGCTAGAAGCGAGTGATTCTCTAGTTTCCAAGTCATAGAACTGTGAATGTGTCAGCCCCTTCTAAATCTAACAGCGGTACAAATTCGTTAGGCGAATGAATAACACTATATCCGGCTTGCAATATCTTCACTAACCCATCTGTTCCGATCCCCCTGGGGATTGAAGCAACGAACATTAGATAGCAAATGTCTCTTGGTTTGACTCTTCATAACGATTTCAGCAAAGAGTTATTTGTTTCACAGCCAGTGACTTTTGCAAGTACAGTGCTTCCATTTTCGTACACATTCGTCAATGGCCTTATTTCGCTGTCTATTTCGCTGCCTATTTGTGGTACTGCCTTAACCAATTTAACAATTTCCCTGGTTGCTATGCTACAGTAAATTTATTCACTCCTGAGTAAAGGTTTCTCTTTTTGGTATGTCTTTATTGCTAGTGCCTGTCTTTTTTTCTACTTAATAATAACTTCCCATCTAATTTTTATATTTACTTTGTTTTGTTATAACTACTGTGAATATGACGGTCTGTGAAATAGAAAGATTGCTGGGTGCTAAGAATTCTACAATGTATATGAAATACTGTTCGGAGTAAGGAAATTATTGCCATTAGACTCTATGAGAGGGTTTTTGAACTGCTTGGTCTAAGACTGACAACCACATGGAGTCTACTTCAACCTGATGAAAAATCGACGTCCTTAACATAGGGGAATAAAAGCTTCAGTTGTGTGGTACACCTCCTTGTCATGGGTGGGGGAAGACATATCTCCTGTTGCAATCCTCCACTCTCGTGTCAATCCTTTGGCGATAATGAGATTTGGGTATGAAATTTCATTTCAAGGCTCGTCAGGAATTCGGTCGCTCATACCCTAGTACATCATGTGGATAGTGGTATTGTTACCTTGGCATACTTTTTCCCCGCACCATGATGGTAATAGATTTCAGGCCTGCAATCAGGTTACTAGTATTTCATGCTGAGTCTTACAATATGGGCATCCTCTAGAATGGTTCCTACACAAATTAGGGATCTCGAATAACTAAGCTGCTTGATTTTCCATCCAACAGAGCGGATCGTATCTTATACAACTCTTGTCGTCTTAACCACATAGTTATATCATTGAGTAGCAAAATTTACTCAGTCACTTTTTTAATAGAAAGATTGAGCGAAGAAATATTTACTTTTCAATTAGATCCTCATCTCTGGTTCTACTCTAATATATATATATATATATGTAGCATTTTAATTACAATACAACAGTTTGCTAATCAAGCGGCGATAAGTTTGTTAACAATAATTAAACAGTGTCCAAATGTCAATGGGTTAATAATTAAAGAAGAAAATCAATACAGATTTAAAAGGTAGAAATAGAGAGAATAGAATAATTTTATAAGGATAATTGTCTTTAAAAATACAGGTACGTCTTTCTCAGGGATGGAGGAAAAATATAAGGGATCAGTCTATGCTCCAGACAGGACAGCATTGCATCATGCGATGTAATACAGATTGCCATTAAACTTGAAGACCTTGGCTGGACAAAAGATTGTGCGATAAATTAGTGCGGGATCTCTGTACATCATATAAATATTTTGTACAGGAAAAAACTGTTACTGTTATTATACATCTTTTTTAATATTATTAATAATGTGTATTTTCATATAAACATATAAATTTACATGAAAATGCATGCCATTTTTACAGGCACGATCAAGTATGATATAATATCAAATCGTAGATTGTCTACAAGTTAATGTTTCAACAGTTAAATATTTGATATATATATATATATATAGAGAGAGAGATACACTCATTGTCTGAAACAGGCCGTATAGTTATTGAATTGTACAGTTGTCCTCCAGGTTCCGTGGGAAAATCGACTTCGTTTCGTTTTCATCCCGTGGTTGTAGGCATACGATAACCAACCAATATTGAGGTAAGTACAGCGTTTACAAGGAATTGAAATCTGTTTTAGAAAAGTAAAAGTGCTAAGGTGAATAATTAGAGTGTAATGAAATAGGTAAGTGCAATATGTCACTAATAAATGCATTAATAAAGGAAACTCCCTAGGCTGACAACGTTCATTTGCAATGTATAATGCTTCCCGCATAGTTGTACTATCATGATGTCCACTTTTGGTTTTAATACATATATCCTCATGCCGTTTTTTTATTTTATACCTCTTTATGCATTTGGTGCACAACATACCCTATAGAGATTGTTACATAATTGAGGTCCCCACCTATTTAAGATTATTGAGATTTTACTAACCTCGCATTTGTAAGATTGCTCAAATCTCAAAAGAAATGAGATGTGGTGTAGAAATGCACCGAATCCATGAGCTCAAAGCAAGTGGAAGTGGACTCTACATATTGTTAGCTGGGGAGTTATTGATCTACTTCTCCTACCTAGGCAGTAACCGTGAATACAGTGGAAATGTGTTTATTCCGATGTTACAGTAACATCGAAGGCCCTGTGCAGTGGGAGTCACTCTCCTGCAGAGCCAAAACACAGCGAGTCAAATCTAATGGAGGAAAGGTTGGAGTTAATTATAATATATATTTTGTATAAACGGGTAAGTTTACATGAAATGCCTGCCATTTTATTATATGGTACGCAGCCATAAACAATAAAAATACAAATGAGAAGAAAGAGGATTTCTCCGTGCAGAACATACTCGGTTTTCCTTCTTGCAAAAATTCCTGAATTCTAAATAGGTCTTCATTGATTGCAACGGTGGGTTCCCAATTCCCCTTTTGAAGACTTTCGAGGGTGGAACTTCGTGAGAAGAGTCAAAGACTATCCTAAAGCAAGACATGGAGAGGGATATTCCGGTTTCACTGTCATCTGGATGCCTTTGGTCTACTACACACACGATGTCCTCCTTGTCACCCTCAGACAAATGTGCAGCTCGTCGTTTCCCATTCGGCCTCCACTAGAAGGTGTGGCTCCCAATGTTATTCAACGGTCTTCTCAATCCATCCCCATTTACTCTGGCATATCAAGTTAGCAATGGTTTCTTGGGTGGTTCATTCATATATTTACGTGCCGCTAATTTGTCTCTGCCGGTAATTTAATTTTGTCTATGGGGCCAGCGAATACAGCTGTTGATATGAGTTCTCAGCTGGTTGTTGGAAATGGTTTCATGACGCACCAAGTTTCTGACGAATACAAAAGAATTGACTTAACATCTGTGTTGTAAATCAGATTTTTCTCCTTATTGTGAGTTCAGGAGCTTTTAAGACTGACTGGTGATGGAGGTCCGTCTCGTCTTTGTGATTCTGGCTTAGATATCCACATCTGTGCAGTTGCTTGTAGCTGAAATGATGTTCCCTAGATAAGGGAAGGCGGTGGGCTCATTTGAATTCCTCTTGTTAATTTTGATTGGTGTTGGTTGTTGTTGGCTATTTATCTTCACCTCCATCTCCTTCATGTTTCCTTGAGATCCTGCCTTCTCTGCCAAAATCTTCCGACAGCTTTTTGATTTTTGCATGTAAGTCTTCGAGTTCGTGTAACATTAGTCATAAGTTGTCCGCAAAATCCAGATGTTTTAAGTATCTTTGTCGGCCAAGCGTATTCCTGTCTTGGTGCTTCTCACACACGTTGTCAGTGGTGGTGAACACAGAGTGAACGCTCAGTGACTTTGTAAATTAAATTCAGTTTCCTGTTTCTTGGAGGCAACGATCTCTATGGTGGTTTAGACATTTGGTCGTTACCAGAAGACCGGAGCAACACGACCAGAAGTATTATTGTCAGCCACGTCTCATAAACTGTTAATGCCCAGCTCTTGCTACGCTCAGCCACACGCTGTCGCTTGAAGTTTTTCAGAAACGCTTAGTAATAACGGACGAAAAAACCAAAAAACCAATTGGTGACTCGTGGATTCTTTATTGTTACACCAACATATAAAAATAATATTTGAACTAAGGTCAGTGAACAAATATTACAATAATAAATCACAATATTACTTCTGACAGTTGTCTCCTGACTTCTTTCTGAACAGCGACCGATGAGACGATGACTGTCGTATTGATGCCTCCGCGAAAATATAGGGAAGTTGGTTTTGAGCAAACAACCATGAATTGATCGTTCAATCTTCAACTGCATTGACACTCCCCGGCAAAAAAGGGGATCCAACCCTTTTTTCCTTCACGACCAATACACGTTGACTTGGATGCCATTGCGAGAACCTGGGTCACACGGACAGAGCTGAAATGGAAAACAAACAGAAAAGCCAACACACCACAAGCATACCCACAGCACAATCTCACACATCGCTGACGACCTGCGCCTCCAGATAGAGACCTCCTCTTGACATCTTGCAACACAATCGCCACTTGCTAGAATGACTCTTGCAGAATGCAACGTGACCATAGCACCAACTCATGATACTCTACGCACATCATTTTATCTACTCACTACCAATTACCACTGCAATCGCTTGTCACTCATTCTGCCTCAGTTCTAGTAACGGTGACGTATGCGAGCCTCAGTCGTTTACACTCTTTCTCCCCGGCGTGTCGGACCGCAGCTAATAATTACCTCCGTATGCATTTCATTCTCAGCAATAGCCTCCCAGGCATATACGACCCATCTGTCGTCTCTAACATCAATCA